TCTATATGGAGTACAATATTGTATAACTGTATTAATTCACCTGTAAACCTAATAATTTACAGCCAATTTTGAAAAAGAAGCATCTTAGCTCTGAAAATTGTAATTGAATATGTCAGTGCTGTTGTAATGAAATGCTTCTTCTAATCATTTAGTTATGAAATAAATAATTAAAAAAATAATAATTAGTAGATGTGAAAAACATTACCATTGAAATCTACCTGATGAATTTATAGCCATGCTCAGATGCCAAGGAGCTCAGAAATTAACTGACTGTCACTAGTAATAATCAGATATATAGAGACTAGAAACACGTGTAAACATCTTAATGTCAATTACATTGAAAATGAATTTTTCTGTATGAAACTGTGTATTTTAATAATGAAATGGAGATCTTTTTTAAAGGTTAAAACCTCATTTAATTTTATGTCTTATAGGGTTTATACTGAGTAAAATATTGTATAACTGTAATAATTCAATTGTAAACCTAAAAATTTACAGCCAATTTTGAAAAAGATGCATCTTAGCTCAGAAAATTGTTATTGAATATGTCAATGCTGTTGTAATGAAATGCTTCTTCTAAGTATGTGGTTATTAAATAAAATAATAAACTGAAAAAAATGTACATATGTCTCTTCATATATACACTTATAGTTTTCAAAAATGAAATATGCTTATATTGCTATAACTAGTTTTATTATCCTGCCAGCCTGGGTTGCATAGTCAGTTTAAAGCTAGCCTAGATAGGACACATAACAAAACTCTGATCTCAAGCTCATAGCAATCCTTCTGTTCCCACTTCCCAAATTCTTAGGTTGTACTACCACACCCTGCTAGATATGTGTAGTTTAATACTTGGATACTATGCTGGCAGAAAGAATTGGAAACTTCAATTCATATTATTTTTTACAGAACCTTATAAGGTGATTAAAAAGTTTAAAGGCAAAAATCTATTCCATTAGAAAACTATTATATGAGAGAAAAAATCTAAACACAAATTCAAGGAGGAAAGAAATTTTGTAAGTGTGCTCACTGGTAAAGTTTTATGTATTTTGAAATGAGCAGTGTAATGGTAGATTCAAGATGTTATGGTATGTAGATTCCATTTAATACACCTATATGACAACATATCCATCTTTAAAATACCAATATTATCTCTGTACTAGAAATTATACCTTTTACTTATATAAAACTCTATGTCAACTTAAAAACATGTAAGAGGGAATATAATTTTACAAAATTCTTTTAAAATTTCAATCACCAGTTATGGGAGTGTCAGCACTTATGCTGTGCTCTGGGCAGAGTTCAGACTGTTTTTTATAGGTCCTAAAGCTCTATTTGAGTTTTTCTATAGACTTACATACATAAGACAGCATTTTTTGATGTTTACTGGAGAGTAATTTAGAATGGATAATATGTTTTATAAGTGTTTTATAATACATTAGCTGTCTAAAATGTTGGGGAACATGGAAAGAGAAGGTTAAGAAACAGTATTTGGGGGTGTGTCAGTATTTTTTCCTATCTGTGAACAATGAAATTATAACTTTATCCTAGGAGAGTATGAGGCCGAGTTTTGACCCTAAACAGGCTGTCAGTGCCAGAGCTTTTGACCTATGATTTCTTTTTTCATTTGTTTGTTTTGTTTTTGTGTCTTTGTTTGCAATGGAAAGGAAAAGTTTACAAGTATATAGTAGAATAATTTCTCAACTAGTGGTGTTGACAAGAGTTGATTCTCCTCATAGATTTGAGGCATTAATTTTCACTTGTTTTATTTTTCTGCTAGGAAGCATAAACTCAGCCACAGGTCCAAAGTTACCAATTAGTGGAAAGACCACACATTATTACTACTATTATTAGAATGTACAGCGATGACTGTCCATTAACGTTTTAAAAGGGTCTTAATTCTTCAATTTAGAAGCAAAACCATTAAGGAATACAGGTCTAAAACTACAAATACATTTACCTCTATTAATAGTTTATATCTTACCATCACAAAATTTTAGACTCATGTCAATATTTTTATTTAGTAGGAATAATTTAACATAAATGAAAACTTAAGGAATTTCCTAGGTCATATATATGTATACATATGTGCCAATTCAATGTATGTTTTTACCAAATCTATTTTCAATTACCATTTTATGTTGATCATCTGTTGCCAGCAACTATCTCTAATTTCCTCAGTTTTTATCTGAATGTTCCTATTGAATATCTCATTCTGCAGGTATCTTCTTTAAACAGGTGAATCCATGGAAAACTTCATTCATGGTAAAGCTGATAAATGTTAGCTGATATATGTTAAGTGTATTGTAATTTCAGGGAAATTTATTTTTAAATATTTTATTATTTTTATTTTATGTGTATGCATGCATTACCTGCATGTAGGTAAGTGCACCCATGTCATGCAATGTCTGCAGAGGACAGAAGAGACTGTCAGATCCCCTGGATCTGGAGCTACAGACAGTGGTTAGCTACCATGTGGGTTCTGGGATTTGAACCTGTGTCTTCTGCAAGAACAGTCAGTGTTCTTAACCACTGAGCCATCTCTCCAGCCCCAGAAGTTTATTTTAATTATTTATTTCATAACCATATGATTAGAAGAGGCATTTCATTACAACAGCATTGACATAGAAGAGGCATTTCATCACAACAGCATTGACATATTCAATAACAATTTCCAGAGATAAGATGCATCTCTTTCAAAATTGGCTGTGAATTTTTAGGTTTACAGTTGAATTAATACAGTTATACAATATTGTACTCAGTATAAACCCTATAACATAAAATTAAATGAGGTTTTAACTTTTAAAAAAGATCTCCATTTAATTATTAAAATACAGAGTTTCATGCAGAAAACTTCATTTTTAATGCAATTGACATTAAGTCATATACAGATTCCTTGGCATCTGAGCATGGATATAAAGTCATCAGGTAGATTTCAGTGGTAATGTTTTTCACATCTACTAATTATTAAGGAGCAAATTTTTATGCTTTGAAGAAATTTTTTTAATACACCCACTTCCCAGGTAGCACCCTCAAAAATTCCTTAACTTTTAGAAGTAGCCAGTGGAGAAATAGAAAATCATGAAATGTTTAACTGTGGGGAAATATTCATGTGTTTCATTATGCCCAAGAATCTGTATATATTTGTAGGGAATTATCCATTCTTATATTTAAGATGGAGACAAATATAAAAAATATTTTAAAAATTGCATAGAGGGGCAAGTTTTCCCTTCCAACAACATATGCTTGTTCGCACTTCTGTTGTTGAGCTAAGAATCCTGAAGTTGAGCTGAAATAAGTACAGAGAACACTCACTCTTTCAGAGGTGTACATACATAGCCACAAGAGTGATTGTAACCACGGATATAATTTGAAGTTGGAGAATATCCTGGGAAGTCCACACTGTTACCTGAAGTGATTAAAAAAAGTTCAGATGAAACCCAATCACAAATGTAAAAATGTCTACTTCTAGAATAATTTTTAAAAAGCTTATGACATAGCATTTAACTTTGTTGCTAGTGGTAACATTAGTTTTACACATGCATGTATAATTGCATTAATATTTCTAACAACGCTTTTACCTTTTTATACAAGAAAGACTCTTTAAAGGTATCACTTAATTACTTTTTGAGGCCTGAATCAAAAGAAGGCATCATGAGATTATTTATTAGGGTCGGGGTCTCAACTTTTGTTGTTGCTAATCTTTTCTTTTACATAGAATATCTGAAGTGTTTAGATACTTTAAAATGCCCTCTTCTGTTAATGCCATGTACTGATGTCAAAGTGTAATCAAAGCTCTCTAGAATTTGTCTTAGTAATTACGTGGCATAACATGTATACTGCAGTGAATACACAGGGAAGGGATTATGATTCAATTTGTAATTATATGTTCTTTCTGAAAGTAGTTTAAAGATATATGCCTTGTTAAAACAAGAAAATGGATTTTCCTATATGAGTTTAACATGGGTAATCAGGTCTATGTAAAATACAATGTGAAGTGCTAGCTCAGGAGATTAATGTGGTGGAATGAATTTTCCGTTTTTGGATCATTATCTTCACAGAGCTTATTACAGTGGCATGATGATATTGCCAGACGTGATATTAAACATTTTCTCCATTGAAAATGGAGGTAAATACTGTTAGGTTAGCATCTGTTTTGAAAATCAGAAAGACTGGAGTTTTAAATTCAATAGTTTATTAGCTATGTAATTCAATATTTTCACTGCTTAATTTCTGAAAATTTTAGTTTCATCTTTAGTGAGATTATATATGCAGAAATATTTAGCTCAAAGCAAGGTACAGAGTAAGCTTTAAAAACAGAAAAAATGGAATATTCATTGAAAATTTATTCAGTGGAAGTTTCTTACAGAAAATTTAGTTTTGTTCTTGCAATAAATGAGTGCTTCCCTCTGGTTGTTGGTTTTAGCCCATATGCTGCTTATTTATTCATTTATTTGTTTATTTATTTATATTTATTTTCCATGCTGGGGATTGAACCTAGGTCTCCTGTGTGCTATGTACATCACCACTGAGCTACAGCTACTGCCCTGTGCTCTGTGCTCCAATTTCACTTTCCCTCTGACTTCTAACAGAGGCTAGAAGTGGCTTGCTTCCCAAATGTGGAAAGTAACAGGTCTATGTTTTGGACATGCCGGTAATTTGTAAAGTGGGCAGTGAAAACATTTTATGTGTTGTAACTTTGAAAGCAACAATTAAACATGTTTGTACATTGAGAACATCAGTCTTAGTTGTTTCGTGCAAGACACAAGTCAGTGGGCTAACAAGTCTAATCCTCATGGTATGAAATGGTCTGAGTCAGTAATACAGGTTAGCAAATTTTCATTTTACAGAGTTGCATGATTACAGAGCAGGTGCTAAGTTTATATCAAAACTTCCAATTTCTAAAAGAAATACAAGCACACTTAAGACTCATGTAACATAAATAATCAACAGTTTTACCCATTGCATATAAGCTAATTTTGTTTCATAGGATTTTTAAAAGGGATACAATGAAATTGTAGCCTACAGGCATCCATATTGAGTCCAGAGTTTATATTACAAAAGTGAAGGAGATGACATAATTATTAATATATAAACAACACCTCCTGTGTTAAGTAAAACATCTGGCCTATCTGCATGACAAGGATTGTTGGTTGCACTAAGTACAAAAAGAAATAACAATAATATAGTTTCTTCTAAACTGTTAATTCTATTAAAGGCAAAAAACTTTAATGACACACAGTAATTCCAAAACATGGGCAAAATGCTTCAACTTACTACTGATAATATCCACATTCCCTTCATAGTGCTTCATGTATACTAAGTCGATAAAGTCTCTGGAGGAAATTGACCCCATGGCAAAACTTTGTGTAATGATACGGCAAATAAATGTGTCCTGCAACAAATCAAATCATAAAATTGCAAAAATTATTTAATATCAATCATGTATTATTTCCAAAAGAGTTTCATTGTATATGTTTGGTCTATCTTTAGAAAAAAACCACAACTTAAAGTTTTATGACTGTCTCACCAAATCAGTTTGCATTTTCAGTGTTAAAGGAACATCCTAAGATCATTAATTTTTCCGATATTTAGATGGAGAAAAGAAGCTTTGTGCACTTGGTACTACCAGCCTGCCTTGCATGGCTTCTGGTTATTTAATCTATTCTCATGTTGCCCGTGTGGCACTATGTCCTCTTCTCCTAGTCCATGACTAATGAACCGCTGTTTAGCTCAGTTGCCCAGTGCCAGGTATTGTATGTTTTTCCCCAAGAGTGGAAATTTCTCTTCATCCCTGGTTGAACAGGAGGCAGTTAAACATACTTTTGGAGATGAAGCAGATACTATAAATATTAATAGGAAGGTAAAATGATCTTTCTTTTAGTGTAATGCTATCTAGAGAAACTGGAGAACTGACTGGAAGGAGCATGGGACTGGGAATCAGGAGACCGGGTACAAATCCGAGGTCCACCACATATTGGCTATAGGAACCTGGGGCAAATCACATAATCTCAATCCGCTTCTAAATTTGAAATATCTTTTGATTTATTATTTTCTTATGTGTATGAAATGCTTCGTCTTTGTAAGTGCACCAGTGTCCATGAAAGCTAGAAGAAGGTGTCAGATCTCCTAGAACTGGAGTTGCAGATGGTTATTAGCTACCATGTGGATGCTGGGAACTGAACCAGGTCCTCTGCAAGAGCAGTCAGTGATCTTAACCACTGAACGATCTCCCTAGCCCCATTTCAAAGTTTTCTAAAATAACTTTCACTGTCTAATCTTTACCAAAATCCCATTTTAGAACTCAGTTTTGGTTCTTCTTCCCCTGCTATTGAGTCTATCTCCACATTGTGTCTTGGATCCTCTGACTTCTCTTGTTTCACACTGCCCCAACCCTAGAAGAAATCACCGTAACATCCTGTTCAGTGTTCTCTGACAGTGTCCTAACTGTTCCCACCAATTTCAACCTAGCTCCTCATAAACCATTCTCCGTTTAACAGTTGTCTTCTAAAAGTCTAAATCCAATCAGTAATGCTCCCTGCTTGAAAGTCTTGGTTTTCCCCTGCAGCAGAATCTGATGTCCCTGACCTATGAGCTGCTTACAGAATCATGTCCCAGACCGACTTTATTAAGCCATCTGCTCCTTGTTCATTATATTCAAATCACAGATCTTGGTTTTTCTGCATTACACACCGCCAAGCTCCAGCTTCAAGCCCTCTGCACCTGCTTTCTCTCTGTTGCTCCCCAGATCTTTGCAGTTTCTCCACCACACCTCCATTTCATTATTTAGGTTTCTTACCCACATGTCTCTCACTCAGGCGTATCCCAATTAACTAGATATAAATTGGCTTCTTCTGGTCATTAGCCTTCATAGGATTTAGATTTATCGATCCTGTCCTTCATAATACATATTATTTGGTATTATTTTTTAAATTCTTTACTTAATATGTCTCTTCTGACTATAACATGGCCTCTGTGGTCACAGGGATATTTTCTGTCTTCTATCCTTGTGCTTAACACCTATGTAGTTTATAATAGGTTACCAAAATGTATTTGTAGAATGAATTTTCAAAAGAATACAAATATTTCTGGAGAGGTGTTGGAGTAAAGTTAGGTTTCCTTCACAAAACAAATTCATAAGAGAAAAACCCACAAATAGTAACAAGTGGAGAAGATTATATTACAGCCACCTTTCCTGGAACTTATATTTATGGCAGTATTAATGACATATAAAACCTTATAGTTTCTTTTAACATCTTTTTACTTGCTTTAATCTTTGTCACAAATCATCCTTTCCCTTATGTTACTAATTTTCTTCTTCCTGAGCTTTTTCTTCCTCTTCCTACGTCCTACTAATCTTTCCTTCTGTCTCTGAAGCCCATCTCCCTCTCACACTTCATCTGCCTTCAACTTTCCATTCTGACTACTTAACCTCCTACTCGCATGTGCCTTCTTCCCTCCCTCCCTTCTTCCCTTTTTCCATTCCTTCTTTTCTTCCTTTTGTTCTGTTTTTCAGACCCATGGCCTCATTCATAGCTGCTATGTGCTCAGGACTGCAATGGCCATGTTATATACGGAAGAGAGTGCCTCTCCAGCCCCTCTTCTGCTGTGGTTCCTGGGCCTCAGAGGAGGTGATGTTGGTGTCCCATTTGGAGTCAAACACTCAGCAGTCATTTAGTCCCAGCACTCTGACCAGTTATGAGTCCTTTTTTGACTGTCAGCCATTGCTGAAAGAGGCTTCTCTGACCAAGTCTGAGAACTGAACTAGTTCATGGGTAAAAACATATATTTAGAAGGCCGTTTACCTACACGTCCATTTGACAAAACATTAGTAGTAAATGCACCCATAGGGCCTGTGACTTCCCTAGGCATAGGATTTGGACAGGTTTATTATAGTGCCAGGCATATAGTTCCTCCCATGGAGTGGGTCTCAAATCCAATTAGGAAGCAGTTGTTTGCCCCCAGAACATTCATGCCACTGCTGTACCAGTACTCATATCTTGCTGGGTATGTTGGTATTATAGCAGGTAGGGTCTATAGCTGGAAGTGACTGTTGAATTCTCTCCCTTAACAGCCTGCGTGGCACCCTCTGGCACTATGAATACTAGCCAGCAGGGAGGAATCTTCTGGCTCACTTCCAGCTTTTTTTCTTTATCCTGTATCCAGTGTGTGTGTGTGTGTGTGTGTGTGTGTGTGTGTGTGTGTCTTTAGCAACAGGGTCTTTACTGGCTACTCCTGGAAGGCAGTTGCCTGGATTGTTTCAGACGCTTCTGGGAGCTACCTGGACAATAACTCATAAAGAGGTATCCCAGAACTCACACTGAATTGTGTTTGGAAACCTGACTTCTGGGGCAGTATTAATCTAAGCAGAGTAGTTCTTGTTCAGCTCCTTGTTTTTGCTTTTTAATCATAAATTTTACTTAGCTTATAAAGTAATTTTTTATATCACTTTTTCTCTACATCTGATTTTTGGTCGACCTTGTCCCTACTCTCACCTACCCTCATCCTCCTTTAAACTTTTTCTCCCCTAGCAGTGTGTGTGTGTGTGTGTGTGTGTGTGTGTGTGTGTGTATGTGTGTGTGTGTGCAACAGTGCATGTGTGGAGAACAGAGGGCACTTCGACTCTTGGTCCTTGCCTTCCATTTTTGAGGGAGGTCTCTGTTGTTTATTGCTTCATATATCAGGGAAGCTGGCCCATGGGCTTCTGGGAATTCTCCTGTCACCACTTTCTAACTACCCCACGGGAGCGCTGGGATTACAGATGCATGCTACGTTGACTGGCTTTCTTACACAGGATTTTAGGATTTGAACGGCACGGCAACCACTTGGCCCATTAGGCTATCTCACCAGTCCCATCTATACTCTTCAATACTATCTGCTATTCATTCTTAAGTCCTTATGATGTGTATACACACTGTTCCTGTTTCCTAATGTAATAGAGTAAACTAAACTCTGCCAGGACACACTTGTAAACACAGTAGCAGGGAGGCAGGAAGAGCTTCAGCTCTAGGGCAGTATGGGCTGCACAATGAGTTATGGGACAGCTTGGGCTTCATAGAGACTCTGTCTCAAAAAACAAAACAGCAACAACAATAAAAACAGCAACAACCCCCAAACTCAGTGCTGGAGAAATGACTCAGTGGTTATGAACACATATTGCTCTTGCAGAGGATTGGAGTTTGATGCCCAGATTCCATCTTGGATGGCTTACAACTACTTAAAACTGAGCTCCAAAATGATTCAAACCTCTTGCCTCTGTAGACACATACCCACATGTTCTCTCTCTCTCTCTCTCTCTCTCTCTCTCTCTCTCTCCTCTCTCTCCTCCCCAGACACCCAAAATTTAAAAATGATAAAATGCTTAAATTTATAAAAATAAATCTTAAAAACCCGAAATATCTTTGATTTCCCATCAATAAGGCATGCTTAAATTTATTTTCCTTGTAATAGAGATAAATGCCTGAGTTTATTTCCCTCATAACTAAAGGACATAGCAGCAAGAGACTTTGCCAGAGTAGGAATGTGAGAAGTATTTATACCAGAATAAAGCTAATTGGAATTATAATCTTTAATAAAAAGGGATGGTTTAAGCTTTTAGATAAACATTTCAACTAGGTATAATGATCCATGCTTATAATCCTTTTACTCCGAAGGCAGAGGCAAGAGAATCACAAGGTTGAGGAGAGCCTGGGCACCTTAGTAATAGCTGGTCTCAAAATAAAATTTGATAAACATGCTATGGGGGGAGGGGGAGTGAGCTCAGTGATAAGAGTTTTTGCCTAGCATGCAAATCACCCATGGTTCAATCCCTAGCCCTGAAATGAAAAAAAATTGGCTGATTATGAATCTATAAGATATAATGGTACAGTTTCAATAAACTTAAGACATAAAAAACAGAGATAATAGTAATACAGTAAAGCAAGTATTTACTATTAAGCAGCAAATTACCGAATCAATCTTGTGTAGCACATTGTACCCTTTTAATGACTTATCCCATGTAACTCTGTTTTCAGGTTGGTAGAGGAAATCAGATAGCTTAGCTGTTGATTCTGGAATTATCCCTTCAATGCGATATCTATAGTTAGCAAAATGAAGAAAATTCAGAATTTTAGTTTATGCTAAAAATATCCTGCTGTCAAAATTGGAGATAGCATGAAAATAAAACGAAATCAAGAAAAAAAATTAGATAGCAAATAATAGTGAAGAAAATGTGAAATTGAGAATCCTTTATCTGAAGTGCTTGGGATCAGAAATGCTTTTTATTTTGGATGTTTTAAAATTTTGGAGTATTTACATGTACATAATGAGATATACTGGGTATAAGAACCAAGTCTAAGAACAAAATTCATTTGTAGTTCACATTTCTTACACACATAGTCCGAAGGAGTTTTATACAGTTTAAAATAATTTTATTCATGACACTAATATTGAATGGGAAGTAGTAAAGCTTATTTAAATATACATTGCAACAATTACTTCAAAATTCATTTTTCTAGCCAGGCCTGGTGGCACAGGCCTGAAATCCCAGCTACTTTGGAGGTTGAATAGGCAGGAGGATCATTATATTCAATTCTTGCCTAGGCTTTGCAAAGAGTGACTTCAAGTCCATATTGGGCAACTTAGTGAAACCTTGTTTCAATAAGTAAAAAGACAGTTTGGTGATATGGCTTAATGGTAGAGAACTTTCCCAGCACATTTTAGTTTTTTTTTTTTTTTTTTTTTGAGACAGGGTCTCCCTGTAGCCCTAGCTCGTCTGGAACTTGCTATGTAGACCAGGCTGGCCTGGAACTCAGAAAGATCTACCTGCTTCTGCCTCCCCAGTGCTGGGACTAAATGCATGTGTCACCACACCTCCATGCCCAGCAGACACTGACTTTTAAATTCTTGTGATTTAGTTATCCATCAAGAAATTAAGACAGTGGGAGAAAACTGGATTCAAACTGACTCTTGGCAGAAGGTTGTTAGTTGAAAGTGAAGTCACAACAGTACTGGCAACACTGTTTTCAAAATAAGAGGATAGGTGTATGTAAAGCAAAGCTTTTTTTTTTTTTGAAGTGAAGTCTCCCTGTAGCCCCAGGTCTCCTGGAACTCATTACGTAGATCAAGCTGGCTTCAATCTCACAGAGATCTGCCTGCCTCTGCCTTCCAAGTGCTAGGATTAAAGGCATATACCACCATACCCCACACATAAGAAAAACTTTTAAGCCTCCAGAAATTAAATTTTTTTCAGAAAGTGAGATAAGAACCAAAGGTTTTCTTTATGTCAGCCATTTTTTTCAAAAGCTATTTATTATTTTTATTTTATGTGTATGCATGTATTGCTGGCTTGTAGGTAAGTACACCTGTGTTGTACAATGCCCACAGAGGACAGAAGAAGCTATTGAATCCCATAGAATTAGAGTTACAGCCAGTTGTTAGCTGCCATGTGGGTGCTGGGATTTGAACCCTTGTCTTCTGCAAGAACAGTCAGTGTTCTTAACCTCTGAGCCATCTCTCCAGGCCCTATGTCAACCAAATTTTTAAGAGTTTACTATTTTAGAAATAAAGGAGTTCACTATTAAGCTCAGTGAGAAATGAACTTGAATAATCACCAGGTAATGCAGAAAGGAAATCAGACAGGAAACAGTTAAAATTTAAGTGCAACACTTTTGTTCAGTAGTTTGCACACACGGTTCAAGATTGTCTTTTATCTAACCTCTCTGTCCATCTCCCTCTCTCCAAAGTTTGTAAATTTTGAGGATAAAGAGTTATTTACCCTTTTTGTGTTTCTAACTAATACCTAATTAGGTGTGTTTCATGAAGCAGTTATTCCTTAAATGTACTTACTGATGATGACTGCACTTAGTCTTTTTAGTCTTTCACTGAGGGACACCAACATAAACCATCTATTTAAGAGTACTTTTAAGGATGTGGGGTTTTTACCCTTATATACTTCAGCCTGGTACTCCAAGCACTCACTGGAGAGGAATGTGGAAGAGCTAGAATGCACAGAATTCAAAGGCTAAGAAGGGGAACGCTGTTTTGAAGCGTGTTTTGGAAGATTCCAAAGTCCCTTTTACAGTTTTGAAAATATTATAGACAGACAATATTGAAAAGTGCTGCTGATGATACTGATTCCTCAGTGTGTGAAATAGGAAGTGTGTAAAATGACCTAATCTAAACTCAAAATTCTAGTTTTGAAAGAATGCCATACAACTCATCAATGAATAAGCTAACTTTTATTCCACAAGTTATTCATAAAGTGAGAGGGCAGCAGAGTTGAAATACTTTTCAAATTACCTTATTAACAATATATGAATTATTTTGATAGGAAGGACTTTAGGACTCAAAGTTTAGGAACTTAGTCAACCTGGATGAGCACTATGTAAGTTAAGGATCCTCATTTTGGTCATAGGAACTTCATCCAGTACTTTGGTTGCTATAAAAATGTTAAGTCCATTTAAATCTGAATGCTTTAAGTTAAAAAAAGTTTGTAACTATCCCATATGTCTACATCAGAGGTTCAAAGAGAGTAATCTTTGATAGTAATCATCATAATAAGCAACATGGAAATAACTGTTAGGAAAAGAAAACAATGAGTTAAATAAACATGAACTGTTAAAGCAGAGAAGGCTCCCTCTGGTAGAACAGTTCTCTGGATTATTTGCCTCAATTATTCCACAGATACATGGGTGCCGGTGCTAGCCGGCCGAGATGAACAGCACCTGAAAGGGGGTGTGAGGATTGAAAGAAAAAACAAGAGACAGAGAAAAGATACTTGGGAGGACTGTCAGTAGAGACTGCAGCCCCGGTTTATTTCAGCTCCGCCTTTTTATACAGTAGAACATCAGAGATAGCCACCGTTTGCTCAGCTCAATGAGCTTCAACAGCTGTTTTTTCCCACCTGTATCTGAGGGTCAAGGAACAGTCAAATACTTGTCGTGAATTCCACCATTTAACCATCTTCCCTAAATTATCAACACATTCCTCCTGACTTGGCAGAATAATTAGGTGCTGGTGTGCAAAACACACAAACTCTTGAGTCAAGGTGAAACAAGCAAGCCTGCCATGGCTCAATGTACAAAATAGCTGTGCTTACACTAATAGCTCCCAATACATGGGATAGTTTTGGGGGTGGTCAAGGAAATCAATGATTAAGAAAATGCAGCTAGCCTCTGAAGTAAAGTGCTGGCTTCTAAAAGTTTTCATCTCACTAACAAGATAGCTATCTTGGAGTGGTCAGTTAGGTAGGACTTTATTCACTATTAAAATGGGGATAATATTTACATTGTGAGATACATGAAGAGTAAATTAAAAAATACAGGAAAGTTACTTAGTATAATGTCTTATATAAAATAAGATGTTCATACACATGAATTGCTTCTAACATTTACAGGAATGTGTAACTGAACTTTATTTCATTTCTGTTCCAATCAAAGAATTCTCATGCATAAAACCAAGGGCTGAAAGCTAACCATAAAAAGTCCTTTCTGGGTGGCAGATTATTAACAAGCAGCTTACTTTTTGCATATCAGTTATATCAACTTTTCATTTGGTAGTCAACAAAACTGAAGTCCATAAATGCATTCAATAAATATCTACTATTTGTCTATGTGACAGGCAGTCTTCTGCTGGTAGGATAACCAGAATAAATAAGGGTGACTAATTTCTAGGTTAGTTTCTATTCAAGTTCCTGTTCACATCATTTTATATTCTAATAAGGCATACATAATGAGTTGAAAAAAACAAATAGGTTCCATATCGTTTTAAATGCTGGGAAGGAGATAAAAACAGAATAGTGTGGTAAACAGGGGCTGATTATGGACATGTAGGGAATTTGGCCTAGTAGCCAGCAAGGCCACTCTGAGGAGGGAGTGAGACTGAGAACTTGACAATCAAAAGTGACATTAGTTTTAGAAGTGGAAGAAAAGCATGCCAAACAAAAGAACAATTATGAAGACTCTGTGACCTCCTGTGCAGGGAATTCAAGCAACAGAACTCTGTGGCTCATCACAGGGTGAGAGATGACGGACTGATAGGAAACGAGGTTGAGCGTAATGCAGGGACCAGACAGTGACTTGCAGGTCATGATGAAATGTTTGGATTTTATTTTAGATGTGAACGAAATCCTTTAAAAGATTTGAAGCAGGGAGTGACAATTTGAATTACATTTTAAGAATCGACTTTGGCTACTTGGTGAAGAATGGGATGTAGTTGAACAAAAATAGATGCAAGGAGTTACTCAGATAAACCAGTGAGAGATGGTTGTAGTAGGGTAGCAGAATGAAGCTAATAAAAGCCTACTACTTCTGTCTCTATGTTTGGTCAAAAGGATTTCTATCAAGATCCAAACCTTGGGTCAGCGACCCTTCTCTATCATGCTTTATAAGTACATTATCCTTTTCTTTTTCCTTTCTTTTTTTTTCTTGGAACTCACTATGTAGATCAGTCTGACCTCAAATTTACAGACATTTGCCTGTCTCTGTCTTCCGAGTGCTAGGATTAAAAACATGCACCACCATGCCTGGCTACAAGCACAGTCTTATTCAAGAAAAATTTAGAGATCTAACGCTGTGCTCTTGGCCACAGATGAAGGTGCTACAGGGAAGGACTCCTGCATTGTGCAGTGGTAGGCCTTGTGGGAAAACTGAATCTGAGGAAGAATTGCCTCCAGTGGAGCTCAGGCAAGTGCTGGATGAAGGGAATGGGAATTTGAAATTGAGAGATTACCAACGTCCACAATCCTTCTCTCCTGCCATAGTCTGGAAGTGAAAGTGATCTGACCCAAGTACCAAGGGCACAGACCCAACTATAGGAAGAGATCAGATTTCAGCAGGAGTTGACATCAGCCTATAAAAGTTCACCAGCAAAGGAGAATGGCTCAATGACCCAGGGTAACATATTTTCCTGCCTCTGCTAGTGTTTGGTGGAGAAAGAGACCCTTCAAAACCACAAAGGTACAGGAGCAGAATAAGAAACCTCTTGCTGATTCTGTACTGGAGGAACAGACACCAAGACACACAGACCTGTGGAGATGGCAGAAGTGTGGTAAGGAAGTCTTAGCTGAAAGATCCTTAGCACTTAGCACCCTGGTCA